CTATTGAAAAACCAAGTTCAACTCTCTCGGATGTATAGCATATATAGAAAGAGATAAATAACGAAAGTACAAGAGAAGGGGGAGGGTCACTAGGTCAAATGCGTTGCATACTCCCTTATGTCTCCTTCATCGCTCCCTGTCTTCTTTTTCACTCTTTTTTTTCCTATGCACTCACAATTTGTCAAATCAACAAATTTTACTGTTTCTTTCTAAATAAATTTTAATTTTCTTATCTTAGAGTTTAAAAATTATTTTAATAAGTTAATTTGACTCAAAAATTTTGTCTAAGGTTTAATACTTCTTACAAGTTATCAGTTTTATTATTTTAAGGTTCTATTCCAACAGGGCTCGAACTAGGTCCGTAAATTCCGTAAAGGTCTGTAAATTTGCTTCAAATCCGCAAAAGTCAGTTTTTTTTAAAAAAGGTCCAAAAACTTCAAAAATTGTACGATATAATTTTGGAAATTTTGAAAAAGTTAGAAATGATTGCAGAAATTCAATTATTTGCAAAAGTAATCAAACTCTTTACAGAAATTCAATTATTTTCAAAAATTTCCCTCAATTCAATATCTACTAAAGATTTAACTAAAGATTTAACTATTTTCATAAACAATAAAAATTTCACAGGAATTCAATTATTTATAAATTTTTTTTAACTTCTTCGTAATAACTCCATTATTCAAATAAATAACAAAAATCTTTATAAATAACAAAATTCTTCAGAAAAATTAAATTATTATTATGATAGAACTTTGTTGTTCGCAGGAAATCAATTATTTAAAAACATTTTTTATAAAATTCTTGTCAGAAATTCAATTTAATTATTTTCAATAATAATAAAATTTTTTAGCAGGAATTCAATTATTTTCAAAAATTACCATAAAATTCTTCGCAAAAATTTTATTATTTTCAAAACTTTTAATAAAGTTCTTGACAACAATTCAATTATTTTTATAAATAACAAAATTCTTCTTAAGAATTCAATTATTTTCATAAAGAACAAAATTCTAAGTAGCAATTAAAATATTAAATTTTTTTTTTTTACAAAATTCTTCGAAGAAATTCAATTATTTTTAAAAATTGTACCTAATACAATTCTTGTCAAGAATTCAATTATATCATTAGAAATATCAAAATTCTTCGCAGAAATTCAATTATTTTCAAAAATTATAAAACTCGTCGCAAAAATTCCATTCTTTTAAAAAATAACAAAATTTTATTTATTTATTTATTATTTATTTTATTTACTTATTTTATTTTATTTATTTTATTTTTTTATTTATTTTATTTATTTATTTTATTTATTTTATTTTTAAATTTTTAGCAGGAATTCAATTATTTTTTAAAATTTTTATAAAATTCTTCACAGAAATTCAGTTATTTTCAAAAATTTTAATAAACTTCTTTTAAATCTCGTAGAATTTCCTAATAAAAATTTATTTAAAAATGAATTTCAGTTAGAATTTGAGATAATAATAATTGAATAATAGTAAAAGCATTATAAGCGTGTATTTTTATCAATATTTGAATTTTAAAAATTTTGCAAATTAAAATTTTAGGAAAATTTGAATTTTTTATACTTTTAATCAACAATTCTGTAGAATTAATTTTTTTTAAAACCGTTTAATTTAATTTTTTTATTTTCTACAATATATTTAATTGAAGAATTTCCGAATAATCGAAATTTTACCTAAAATTGTATTGTCATGAAATGGATTTGAAAATTCTTAAAAAGTACTTTTTCGAAAATTATATTAAATTTAGAGAAGAATTTTTGGTTAAATTTGTAGAAAATAAGAATTGAATTGAAATTATGAAAATAATTTTGAGGAAGTTGCAGTAACAATATCAATCCTCTTTAATTATTAGAAAACATAAAGAAATCTATCACTCCGAGTCGAAGACTCGGAGTTATTGATATCTTCATGTTTTATAGTTATACAAATTTTATTTATAGTTTTAAGTAAAACTTTCTCTCATTTGACTCGGACTGATTATAATTTTGTTTGTAATCGGTCCGTAATTTTTAATTTTTGGTCCGTAAAGTCTGTATTTTTAAATACCTTCACTAGTTCGAGTCCTGATTCCCAAAAATATTGAAAAAATGAAATTGCTCATAAAGTAGGCGTCGTAGTGTAGTGGTTAGGGCGTTAGACTTAAGAGCAAAAGGTTCCAGGTTCGATTCTTGCCGAGATTACTCACGCAATGCTCATAATCAACAAATTTTTGTACCTGTTATACATATTTTTCAAAAATTCGGAAATAAGCATTTAAAACAAATTAAATTTTTTAAAACTTTATAAAATATCTTCTGATACATGACCCAATATTATTATAAGAAATTTAAAAATTAAAAAAGACTTGGTTTATTTGAATGTTTAACATTAAAACATAAAAAAAATTAAATTTACATATTTTTCGATAAAATTTTGCCATTGTTTTATTATTAACAATGGATTTTGTGGAAAAAATCTGTTAATAATTGAAGATCATCTCGACTGAGATTATTGTCAATCTGAGCGTCGTATTGTTGCGTAATGTCAACGAGAGAGACCTAATCGGTGAGCTTTGTAGTCTTCCTCTCCCCTCTCGCTCTCTCTCTGTTTCGAGTCTTTGAGAACACATGGCCCCTGTGAGTTTCAGGCCTGCACACATTCCCCGAACGAATGATATTTAGTATTATTTATTCTTCGTATACGTTTTGAGTCTGTCTGTCTGTATAAGTTTCGCTTTTCGAGAGACCTTATCCGCCGCGCGTACAATGCGAGCATTTTTAAAATGCCGTCGCGATGCCACACTCTCCTTATGGACGTTTCACTCAAACAATCGTCTCTTATTTTTAGTTTCTCAAAAAAATAGAAAAAAAAATAAAATAATATTCTTAAAACTCGCACTATATTTCTCTTTCTATAATCTCGAGTGCCACGAATTTTTCAAGTATGCGAACTCGAGAGAGCGCGCAAAAGGAAATCGCTCCAGAGGACTGGAAACTTTCAAATTAAACTAGAAAAACCACTTGAAAATTGTTTAGTCTCTGTAAACAGGATTGAAATTTATTGCTCATAGTGTCACTTATTTTTTCAAATTTTCGTTATTCTTCAGCGAAAGAGATTTTTTAACGCAAAAAACATTTTTGCAAATTCTGTTTGTCTTTTAAAAATTTGAACTTTTCTTTAATTACTAATTTCTCCAAATAATTACTATCATACTTATAATAATTATATCTCTCAACTATTTTAGAAAAAGCAAATTATTCTTATTTGTTAATAAAAAATATAACTTTAAGAATACAATTTACAATTCTAGAGACAAATATTAATAACAACATTTTCTAATTTGCATTCATTATTTATATTGCATTTCATTATTCATCTGGAACTCTGGGTATAGTATTATAAAATGGATAAAATGGAATAAATAAACAATAGAAATGTTATTTAATATTTTTTGATTCAATCATTCTTTGGACCTTATGTAATTAAATTCTCTGTTTTATGTAAGGATTGTGAATGGGGGAAAAAAAGCTGTGTGCGCTGTATAAATTGGAATTAATTCAAAAGTGTTTTGTGCTCTATTCAATACACAATTCAGTAGAGATAAACCTTTTAGAGCTAACAATGTACTTGAATTTTTACCGAGTTTTACTCCGAGAACCCCCTCTCGTCATTGATCAATTGACAATTGTTTATCCCCTTTTTTTCTCTATATCTATATATATAACAAGGTACTTCATGTTCCAACATTTATTTTATAATCTTTACTTTTTAAAATCAATCGCATAATCGAAAAATAAATTCTATTTCTTAAAATTCAAAGTGTTTTCTTTAATTTAGTTTCCAAAAAAGCTTAGGCATCAGGTGATGTCTAAGCTTTTTTGAAAACAGAAAAATACGGACGAGTAATTTTAAGTTATTTTTTGACAATTAATGCCATTAATTTTGCAAAGAAATTGCAAAAGGTTTTTTGTATTAAAAATTGAACAGAGGTGAAAGATACTGATGATCTTGTTGAGAATTTTGATGACATTCTTGCGGAAAGTTAATTTTTAACGCAGATGTTTTATTTTGACTGGTTGCACTCAATTAATTAACACTATAATGATACTCATTTAATAAGTCACAATATTTCAATGTCAAAGGTAAATAAAATCAATCAACAGAGAGAAGCACTTAACTAAGATGTAGATTGAATTCATTAATAAAATATACAGATGGATCATTTATCAAAAGAAATTCGAAAGTAAAGAACCGATTTGTCAAAATTGAATAATAAAATTTAGAGATGTTGTGAATCATACATGCTTTAAAATTTTATAGCATTCGGTTTGAAAACTATTTTTCAAAACTGTACTCCCTTTTTTATTTCTTTTTTTAAAAATTTACTATTTAAAGAAAATAAAGAAACCGTACAAGGCCTCTTAAAAAATTTTCTATAAATAATTAAACAAAATAAAGAAATGTAGATTAGATTATGATTTGGCAAAAACCTTTAAGGTCATATCAAAGTCGTGTCAATTTTTTCATTAGAGTAAAAAACCGGAATGACTTTTAAACCCCTTAGGTCCTCGATAGAAACTAGGACTAGCTAGGTCCTTGCTCAAACCCTTTTTCATGTTTAATTAGGAAAATATGTCGATGTATTTTAGTGAGTGAAATATTTTCAGTTTATGTTTTTTGATAATTATATTACAATAATACATCTAAAATTTTGTAGCTCCAATTTTGAACCAGAATCATCAATGTAGAAAAAGCCCTACCTGACCCTATTAAAAATAAGGGTTTTACCACAAACTAGGAAAACTGTTTGGGTCCTATTTCAAGTGGGACGAAGTAGGGGATTTATTTTTAATTGCATAAATTGTTTGTTGGTTATGTAAATATTAGGTGATGATTCTAGATATATCCGATTTGTTGTAAGCAGTCCACAACACTTGTTCCTTGCATAATATACATAATGGGAGCGCAGAGAGGGGAAATATTTACAGAGGTGAAGCGACTCACCTGCCAATCGTGCTCATAACATCCCGCTGGCGGTATTTTGACTTTTCAAGTGGACAATCGTAACACTCACGAATCAACACCTCACTGGGCACACAATTTTCAATTAAACCAAAAACCAACGTGAATTGTCACTCATCAAACTCACACTATTTTTTTTTATTGATTCGCTTTTCCAATCCCGATCGATCACTTTTGCCTGCTTTTGCCCCTGGCTACACTCTGGGACTCTGGGTCATACGGGTTCACACTAAACACGCCGTGTTATTTTGAAAAATCGAGATACAAAATCGTGTAAACGCGCCCGGCGGTGTCCTGCTAGGAACTGTCCTCGACAATGCCGAGAGTCGAGTGGAACGTGGTGGCAGCGTGCGTGTGTGGAGGGCACGCGTATTGGTGCGTTCGTGTGCGTCCGAGAGATGCTGGGAAAGCAGGGGTGGGGGTGGGGGACCTAGAGGCGTGAGAGCGACAGGAGGGGAAAGGCCCGTCAGTCGGAGATACAATGAGAATAATCACCGCGTCGGAGCGTCGGATGACTGACTGAGGAGCGCGAGGGCCCGCGGGATGAGATTCGGCGGGCGCTGCCGCTTCGTCGCAGATCGCGTTACTGCCCCCGCGGAACACTTTCCATCCCCACTCCTCGTCTTCCACCCTCTCCCTCGCTCTTTCCCTCAGCTTCTCTCTCGCTCTCCTGTTGTCCGTCGATGCGTTCACTCACTCCCACTGCTCTCCCCTCCGCCGCGCCAGAGTCTCCTCTCTCGCTCCCACCCATTGGCACGAGCACCAGTCAGGCACTCGCCGAAGCCACGCCCACTCGCGCTGCCTTGGCTCCGCCTACTCCGCACCGACACCCACGCTGAGACGTCCTCTGCCACTGCCTCCCCACCCCCGGACGGAACTGCTGTGCTGCAAGTCGGAAGAGAGGACACGCTCGCTCTCTGTTTCTTCTACCTCCACCTCTACTCTATTCTCTCCCTGCAGGGAGGAAAGATAGCGCTTCGAATACGATCCTATGCTGCCTAGCTCTTCCATACCATTGTAACCTTCTAAATCACTTTTTATTTCTAAAATAATCCTAAACAATCGGTTAGTAACAATTGGTTAGTGATTGGTTATAACAAGTTTTACCGTAATTATATTATGCAATCTTGTAATATGAAGCAATTTGGATGTAAAATTACTATCAAATTATTAATTGTTACGTTCAGTTTATGCAAAGAAAGAGTAAGGAATTAAATTCCCGTGTCGAGAGGTGGGAAGAGTGGGGACATGACAATGCGTGGTAAACTGGTAACAATAGGTAATTGGACGCCGGGAGCAAATCACCGCCTCCGAGATCCGATTCAGGTGAGTCGGTTGTGGCTGCGCATTGTCTATTGTTTGGATTTGGGCGGCGGCGGTGGCGGCGGCACAACCCCCGACCAAGAGCGCTCGATCCAATTGAAAGGGGGAAGCGAGGGAGCGCAGAAATGCAACCAATGAGAATCGAGGCACACCCGCACAAATCACAATGCTCATTGTTGTCGTCGAGCTGTCCGCCCACACCTCTTTACCTCGCTTCGCCCCCATCCAGCGCCTGACAATACTTACATACACTGCGCTCAAGTCCACGGAGCTTCAGCTCACACTGGTTCTCCATTGGTTCACCGGTATTTTCCTCAATTGCAATTGGTTCTATCATGGCCTTCGAATACTAGTGCTACTAGTAACTTGTAACTACTACTGTTACTACTATTACTACTATTTTCAAGTAAGAAATAACCTTGGTCCTAGTACCCCAACTGTCTAAAAATGCATTGTTTCCCTACCACTTATTCGCATAACGTATTTCTTTATAAAAAATGGATTGACGTTATAGTCAAGTTTGCTTCGTAGAACAGCTTTCGTAAACGGAAGACACAGCTAGGTCGCAGAAGAAGCCTCCAGGGTAAACCTCCTCTCCTTCTTATTTGCCACCCCCACCCTCAACTCACTCCTACCAGTGCTGAGCGCAGTGTATACGGAAGTACACGGTATACCGTCTGAAGGCACAAACAGCACTGTGCACACGGATAGGAAACCCACATTAACACAAGTACAAATAAACCTCGAGTATATAGCTTCTATCGTTCACTATTCGCGAACCCTGAGAGAAACGGACGAGAATGGCGTCGGCGCCACATCCCTTTCATGTCCTCCACAAACCGTTCCATTTCTCTTCCACCCCCATTCCACCCTTAGTATTCGCCGACCTTACCCCTTTCCTACCCCACCAACTGTACTCTTTAGACATTATCCCTCCCGGGTGTGTCCTCCGCGCACAGCAGTCGATCTGACCCCGCGAATAGCGTTGCATCCCGTCCACCCTTTTGTTTCCGCACATCCATTGTAAGGGATATGCTTTTGGTCTGAAACTTTTGCTGAACGTTTGCTAATGAAAACGAATCAGTATGATGAGTCTTCAATTAAAGCAGTGTTCAATTTTTACAGGGTTCTTTAAGCTCTGCTTTGAACCTGAATTGTAGGTTTTATTTATTTTTCAATAGTCTGCAAGTATTAATGTTAAAGGATACGAAAAACGTGCGTAAATTCAATATTGACTATGTCTTAAAAATGTTGCATCTTAATTTAAGGCAGCTTTCGTGCCTTAAAATAAGATTTTCTTTTTACTGTGTAGGTTGTTAATGTAATACATTTGGATCATACACTTGAACTCAAAAAATTGCAGAAATTTACGTATATTCTACTAAAAGGAATAGACTACATTTAGGGCCAGTTTCACCAACTCCGATTAAAAGTTAATGATTAAATCCTTAACCGACCAATCATGGACGGTTAAACTGACTTTGATCATTGATTAACTTTTAATCGGAGTTGGTGAAACTGGCCCTTAAAGATTAAACCTAGGGGATTGTATACTTTTGTAATCCGTACATTTTTAAAAGTTTAGAAATCTTATTTTAAAGACTTTAACTTAGGCCCTACTTTATCCTCTTCTTATAATACTTAACAACGTATTGTAATAACAAATAATAATTCAACAATCATCAAATAATATAAAAGAGAATTGGGTCACTAAGCGATTTAATGAATTCAGAAGGATGGACTTTAAGTCGAATTTATAGGTTTTAACAGTATAGTAAAGCATAACTAAATACTCATTATTAGGTCTTAAATCTACTCGGGGAGTCCTCATATCAGAACGTGAGGATAGTAATCGATTCAGTTTTCCAGAAACGACATTCACTAAAAACTTCATATAACAATTTTCTTAATATTAATAATCTTTAATGTCCTTTGATATTTAATTATTTAAAATAAGACAACCACAAAAGAACGTAATAATAATCAAAAGGTGTGTTCATTTTTTCATTTTTGTGGTAGTCATATTTTCTATTTTGTTAATATTGCATTGCTGATGCGAGAATACGAAATTCGTGCTATTAATTTATTATTGATAAAAATATGTCAACTGTTTATAAGTGAGAGAGATCAGAGAGAAAACTTAATATTATAAAATTTAAATCAAGATTGTAATGAAGTGTTGAACGTTCCTATTGTCCTGGTAATATTTGCGAGAATGTTCGCAGCTAATTAAATATATTTTCACTGCATAAAAGAGAACATAAATTTTCTTTTCTATTTCATAATAAAATAATGAAGCAGTTTTTCGACCATCTCATTTGCATAAATAAATATAAATTCACATTTTCTTTATGGAAATGGTAAACTAAAGTATTGAATTTGGTAACTATACCTAGCATAGCTGAAAGCATGAGAAAACAACAAAGTTACAGTCAAAAACAAAATGTGCATTTTCGCATGGTGATATCATTGTGACCTTGGTACGGCCTGCGCACGCGCAGAGAGCAAAAGAGTTCACGTCGCGAAAAATTAAAGTGTTTGACTATATCAACCGCGCACGGACGATGAAGAAGTTTTTACCCTTTCTCTTGTAATTTCAAGGAGGAAAGGGAAAAATTTCCCTTTCCACATGTTGAAGGTCCAATCGCTGACATGAGACTTCTTCATCGTCAGTGCGGTTGATATACTCAAACAGTTTATTTTTCGCGACGCGTCAAAAATGCCATTTTACAGCTCATTATAATTAGTTATTTTACTAATTGCTTTTTATTGCTTATATTCAAAAATGATTTTTTTGGAAACTTTGATACTCTAATTTTCCATTTTCGTAAAGAAAGTGTAAAAATGTTATTTTTTGTGGGAGAAATGGCTATTACAAAAGTGCGATTTTAGTGCTTGGTTTGTTTACATTTTACACCTTGGACATGCAGAATAAAAAACGTATTTATTTTTATTTCAATAGAAATTTTATAGTAAATTTAAATTTACTTTACTTTTAAATTAAATTACTTTGTAGTAGTAAATTTTTCAAAAAACCAGCGAAATTAATAAAAATTTTCAAAAGAAATAAAATTGAAAAAAAAAATTTTTGAAAATTGAATATAACAATTTGACGATTTGACCGCAGCGGGTGGCGAGTATAACGCAGCTAGGTCGTGCAAAGTTATTTTCACATTCATCGTAATGCAATACAAAATCAACTACCCGTACCACCAGAATACCCTGTGGGCGTTGAGAACCAGCCCGCCTTCCGAGGGAGTAGAGTACAAGTACAGGAAAAGATACACTTCTACATCGACTTATTGTCTTTTAGCTCGCGCTTATTCCGACTACTGGAACGAGTTGGTCAAGAATTCCTAGAAATTCATATCGAACAACTGTCACCATTTCTATAATTCTCTTATACTGGTATTGCATTTTTTGTCTTTTTGTCAAGTAAATGCAATTCTTGAATTCTTGAAAATAAAAACACTGAAATCTAAAGGTGCATTTCTCTGATATGAAAATGTTGATTTAATAAACTGAAAATAAATATTTTATATCGTACTGAGATAAATTAAATGCTTCATTGAAAAACTAGTATCAACTGCATTATTTTTAAAAATTATTTTTACTGTTAATTAGTAATACAAAAATTAATATCTATTTCAGGTTTTTGAAGTTTAGCGGTATTACTTTAGTTCACGGAGTTGGCGCTGCACTTGGTACGCAGGATGTGAATACGTTCCACGTGAGTAATCTCTGGTTTATTTGAATGATTTTCAATACTACCGGTATAAAAAAAACTTTATTCCTCTGTCTGCTCTGTTAATTGTTATCAACAAAAAAAAATTCGGTAGCTTAGTGGGGACAATGGGGTATTATAAAAATTAGAATGGAGTTAAGTCTGGAGAGGCAGAGGGTTAAATAATTGAACCCGTTTTTATTTAAATATTTAAATTTAAAAAAATAAAAATTCTAGAACAAAATATTTTTCTAAAATTTGAATAATATTAGAATTTTACTGTTTAATATTATTTTTGAAAGTTTTATTTTTAACTACATAATAATTCAATTTTTAATGCGAAATTACCATTTTGCAAATATAATGCGTTTATAATAACTTTTATGAGTTTAGAAAAAAAAAAGTTGGATGCAAGGTGCGAATCTCTATATTATGTGAGAACGAAGTGTTTTTGCCTCACACTATAAAGGCGCATTAACTGCATTCTTAGTGTTGAGTCCAGGTGATCTAAATGATTAGTAATCAACGACTATGTTCTTTTTGAAATTCAGAAAACTTGTTTTCGTCTCGAGAATAATGCGTCTCCCGTAAACTGGTATCATATAGAGTGACACGACAATTAAGATGGCGATGAGAGGATGAAGTGGCTCTCGTAAGAAGTTGCTGTTTATGTTTTGTTCGAATTCTAATGAAACATTTTCTCTCTTCGCCGTCTAGTCAATCAGCATTATTGATACTCATTGAAGAAATGACACAAATTTATCTCTCAATAGTCTAATTATCA